CCCTCAGTTTTTGAGTCCTTATACTTGGTCCTCAGTCTGAGGTACTTGAATGTGTGTGTGTGTGTGTGTGTGTGTGTGTGTGTGTGTGTGTGTGTGTGACTTGCCGATGAAGACGAGCAGCAGCCCCACGATGACCTGCAGCGTGATGGAGAGCGCCAGCAGCACGATGAGGGGCACGTAGAAGCGGTACTGCGGCCCCACGTACAGGATGGTCTTCAGCTGGGAGGAGTTGGCCATCAGCAGGGCCACGTCCAGCATGCTCTGGGCCGCGCTCTTCTTCGTGGCGTAGTGGTTCATGTCTATGTGGCGCGGCCTCTGACCGGACTGGAAAAAAAAAAACGAGAGGAGAGGGGTGATAAGAGGTCAGACAGACGTCCAGACGGAGCTTAAAGGGACATTGTGTTTAGTATTTCAAGAATTTATTTAGCTAAAATCATGTTCTTCATTTCTAAATGTTCCTCATTTGGTAAACACGGAGGTTTCTATGGCGATCCGCCATTTTGATCAACTCTAATGGCAGAGAGGGACATAAAGCACAAGTCTGCCTGTCTAGCTAATCCACAACGCGTTTTCCTTCAGAGCCAGAGTCATGTGACTGAAATTTCTTTTAAATTTCTTTTAAATTAATTAATTAATTCAATTCAATTTCTTTTAAATTCCAAACCTCATCACCAGAGAAAACTCCAGATGTGGAAGTCATGCTGCCATTACTTCTTGATGCATGACGGCTAGCATAGCTGCAATACCCATTTGTCTGATCCATTTCTGACCCGTTTCATAGCCGTATTTTACCCGTTTCTCCCCCGTTTCTGCCCTGTTTCTGACCCATTTGTGTATAGTTTCTTACCCTGTTTCTTCCCCCATTTCTGACCCGTTTCAGTCCTGTTTCTGCCTTGTTTCTGCCCTGTTTCTGACTCTGTTTCTGCCCCGTTTCTGCCCCATTTCCGACCCCTCTGAATTCCCTGAGCCTGCCTAACCATAGTCAGACCTGATCTCTGATCACCCGGCTCTGGATCTGCTCTGGGAATCTGGACTCTGGTTCTTCCTCCTGACCATCGTCTCTGTCTCCACCTCCACGGTTCTGACCCGGTTCCTGACCTGTGGCCACCGATTACCTGCAGTAGTTTACGTCCCAACAAACTGTCGTCTACCACCATCTGATCTGATCTTATCCGGCTTAATTCTGGGTTCTCCGTTCCTGTTCCTTACACACATTCCTTACACCTTCTGCCCTGTTTCTGACCCGTTTCTGACCAATTTCTGACCCATTTCTGACCCGTTTCTAACTCGTTTCTGCCCCATTTCTGACCCGTTTCTGACCTGCTTCTGACCCTGTTTCGGCCCAGTTTCTGATCCGTTTCTTACCAGTTTCTGACCCTGTTTTTCCCCTGTTTCCTCCCCTGTTTCGGACCAGTTTCTGACCCATTTCTGACCCATTTCTGACCCTGTTTCGCCCCTGTTTCTTCCCCTGTTTCGGACCAGTTTCTGACCCATTTCTGACCTGTTTCTTCCCCTGTTTCGGCCCAGTTTCTGACCCGTTTCTGACCCCCTGAATTCTCTGAGCCTGCCTAACCCTAACATCCCAACAAACTGTCCTCTACCACTATCTGATCTGATCTTATCCGGCTTAATTCTGGGTCTTCAGTTCCCATTCCTCACACACAGGATCAGTAGAATAGCGGTTTAAGATGCTTCTACCATCCAAAACTCTCTAAAACTCGACTCTCAGATACTCTCCAGATCTGATGCATGAGTCTTTACTTTTGTTTGCAGGTGAGCATTTCCTGTGAGGAGACCCGCCCACATCAGGTCTGACAGCCGTCGCCTGTTTGGACACGTAGCCATGACATTTTTCCAAACAGAGTTCTGGCTTTGGTGTGACGGGGTGTGTTTGTAAGAGGAGAGGCGGGACTGGAGAGGTGACAGGTGATGACTCACCTCAGACTGAGAAAAAGAGAGGAATAAACAAGACCCAACATGTGGAAAACATGCATGTGAAGGGAGGAGTCCTAACCAAATGCATGGCTAAAGATTTTATTTATTTATTTATTTAATCAGGACAGTGCACATTAATGAACAATCTCATACAGATTGTAAATGAGCCAGATTCTAGCATAGTTGCTAGTTTACATCTGTGGTCCTGAGGCAGGAAGATCAAACAACACAAAATACAAAATCAGTCCAAACACACGTTCAGACAATGACATTACAAAATTAAAATGAATTAAATTCAATTCAATTTCATTTATATAGATGGATTCTCCAAGGCAAAAACAGCATTTTTAATGGTCAAAACTATCATCTAAAGTCTACAAGAACGAAAAAGGATAACATATTTGATCATTTTCCAACCTGAGGACATTAAAAAACGTCTTGATTTTTAACCCTGTAATGCAAAATGTATCATATTTGATACGGTTTCTGAAATGTTCTGCGTCTGACACCTTTTGCATAATTTAATGGTAAAAACTTTGCTCAAAATCCTATTGTACACAATCAGATACACCTGATAACAGGGGGCAGAAGACTACACAAAAAATAATCTTGACTTATCGCATAGTAATAAATTATTAATATAAAAAATGTATTTCTGTTGTTTCTTTTTACATATTTTGTTAAAATATGTAATAAGGAATAAGGAATTCAAACCAAAAAAAGTGATTTTCTGTTTTGTTTTATTGTTGGATCAGGCTAAAGGGTTAAATAATTAATATTCCCACAACATATAGTGGGTTTTAAAGTATTAGATATGTCATAATAATCAAATCAACCCCTGGTGTCTCTTCTCAGATTACAGGGAATTTGGGCTTCAGTGCTCTTTTAAACATGTTTTTTTTAGAGAAGCTACACTGGATTCTCCCACTGGTCTCATCTTAATGAGCAGTTTTACAAGTAAACACCTCATCAGGATGCATGCGGCTAGCAGTTAGCATCTTTATTTAGCACATAGAGGGTGAGGAGCTTATAAAAAGCAGATTACGAGCTAAAGCACCTCCATTTTTACCACTAAACTTGTTTTATTTTCGAACAGAGAGATCGGGCAAAGAGTTTCGACCATTGAAAACACTTTAAATACTGAGAACAAACAACCATAATACCAAAAAGTGCCTTTTAAAATAGAAACTCGCATCTCTCTGGATGGTTCCGTCACGCGTTTGTAAAGAAGACAAAGTCTCCATGGATTTTATGGATAAAACTCAGTGGTGTCCAGGACAAAATTGTGTCTGTTGCTGCCTGAGGGCCCAAAGATCACAGACACACACTCAAACTCTTAGAAATACAGTGGGGGAAATAAATATTTGACCCCTTGCTGATTTTGCAGGTTT